ATCAAAAACAACGGTGCAGTGTACGGCGGTTTACCAAATACGAGTATAATGATACATAACATATCTTTTTTTGAAATAAACTCGTCGTGAACGAAATAGCGGTCGTCTGCACAAAATCAGTAAAATACTCGCATAGTTCACTTAACGACAGCTGGCTACACATAATATGCAACACTGGATATACGCAGTAAATAGGGATAACATTTTTAGTAATTTGTATTAATATTATTATACGATATTATAATCTTTATAAGACTACACATTTCGTTAATACCGGCACCGCCGTCATATATAATAATAATATGATTTGAGTGATTTAATCACTCGAACCCGTCGCTTGTTATTCACAGCCACTTAATTGTTAAAATAATGATGATATATTGTCTTCGGCTAGTGTGGTATATACCTATATACATTTTTTATTTACCAGGTGAAACGCGAACGACCTTAACTACGCAACACGCACTGCTATAATACATCCTCTCACGTTCACAAAAGAGGACGATGCGTCCCGCGTAATCTGAGGAGAACAAAGCTCTTCCGGCGGCGGTGCCGCGCGAAACTTTCGTAATAGCCTTTGGAATGTTATTATAAAGTTTGCACGTCCCCGCCGGTGCGGGCGATTGAACGGACAATGGGGGGGGGGGGCTCTAAAAACAAAACATTAACGAATATACGCCGTCGAGTTAATTTCGTCCCTTTATTACGAGCCATTTCCCGATTCTCTAGTTTGATGTCCTTGCAGCATTGCGTTCAGCGTTGTTAAGCGTATATAATAATATGTACATATATATTATATTTGTATACAGTTTATTATTATTATTGTTTTCCGTTGCACGCATGTGTACACTACGCGACGAATGTGACGTTATATATCGGTCTGCCATGTACTGTTTTCGCGTCGTGTAATGTGTATAAAAACAACAAAATTATTAAAAGCCGTATTGTATGGAATGTTCAGTTGGCCGTAAGCCTCGAACGATATACATATTTGTCAAATCTCCTGCGGTGTAATTATAGTAATCTGCTGTAGCCCCAGGTCTCTGGTATATAAATTAAAATGACCGAAATCAACAGAAATAGAAAACATTATTTATCAAATGTCATATTCATAAAGGTACAAGTACGCGAAACATCATCATATCAGAATTATTTACAACCGTACGTAATTAAACATTTATCTTATAATATTATTTATATTGTAATACCATTAAAAAGTTACGCAAAAATCAAGTACCTGTATATTTTACTATAAAAATGCAATTTTTTCTATAACCCGTGATCCGGGATCCGGGTACAGATTAGTAGAGTAGGTTGGGGTAGGCCGTGTGGGATGCCACGTCAGAGAATGTTTATCCGATATCTGTACAAGCGATAATAAAACCACATCGGTAGAATTAAATCTGTATAGTTAAAAATACTTTATAAATTATGGGCTTAATTTCGTAGGAAAATAAAAAACACTGTTATTAACTTTTTTTTGTGTGTCCAAATCGGAAAAGGGGAAAAACAACTGCGAAATCGCCGTGCTCGTGAATTTCCCGAGGGGGCAACTTTTTAGGGAGGGTTTTTGCATTTTTATTGCCTCGCCGCGGTTTCCGATGTCCGATGTGCGTTTCTCTTTGATTTATATGCCAATTAAAAACGACTCCGGGAGGTATGAAAAAAAAAATAATAAATAAATAAAGCAACAACGGAACGACACGCTAATTAGTCCTTTTTTTTCGAATACCACTTGACGAATCGAATTGGCCTGGCGAGAGCCGTGAATTTTAAATCGTCGTATATATTATTATTATACTGCAGGTATCGTAGCAATTATATTACGTTTGGATGCCAATATATAAAATACAAATTTGTCGTCCCTTATACCTGCAGGCATGATGCAAATGATTTTATGTTATCGACAAAAAACCAAAAAAAAAACGTACCCTCCTCAGAATAATACCACCTCATCATCGCTTTTATACTTATACAATATACTGTGTAAAGTTCATATTGTTGATGAAATTATTAGGAGCTTGTGTTATTTCTCAACAATATGTTTCATGATAGAACGTCTCGTGTCATCGTCAAACACTGTAGATATAGTGATATTAATTATTATTGGTATACACGTACAAGTCCCTGCTACCTTTACCTATTTACGCATATAAGTACACGACAGAAAATTACATTTTTCCCCGATCTTCCACACACGTTTTACACACATGTATAGCTATGCGTTCTCTACCAACGTGGAAGCTCAATCTATATACCGATGTAATCTCGAGCAATACCGCGATCGTGGTTTCGTTACAAATCGTATACCACATTATAATATTTGTATAATACCAACCCACCTGCAGCCGTTCGCCAATCATAATATATTGCAACGTGTATAGAATTTAAAAATAATAACAACGATAATGCCGTCTCCGTTCCGTTTCCAAACATCAAAATAGCTTTCGTCGCTTTTCATGCTCTCGCGGGATGTGTATTATATACATATCATATTATATTGTGTGCGTATTACTTCGCATCGCATATATATATACACTCGTTAATTCGCCGCAATATAACGGGACGGGATTTAGAAGGGGCCTAATGTGACTGTTTGTGTGTGTTCTCATATATCATATATATGTATATATATATATTTGGTGACAAATGCCAATTAAACCGAGCGCGGAGCTATTGTTTTTCGGTTTCCAAGGTCGAGACGGCTCGGCGGGGTCGGAAACTGCTCGCCGGCAACGCTAACGTGTTCCGAAAGCCATTATATACGTGAATCCGCCCGAATCGCCGTCGGAGCTTTGTCCCCGCGATCGTTGTCGCCCGGAAGTTTTGCCGTTTGTAACGGCTTCGATAAAACATATAATATCAGTTCCCTCTGATGACGATTTGAATAACTTTATTATACTATTATATGTGTCTCTCTCCCCCCCCCCCCCTTAGCCGTCGAAATTATTTTTACCGGTCGGTCGTTACATACACCTATATATTAAAATGTTGTTGTTGTGATGATGCACCATAACGATGCGAAAACTCTTTTAAAAGAAGTCTATATATCATTAGTATTATTATTATTATTATTATGTATACAGCCCATCGCTTGAAAATGTGATCTCTACCTCAACTACTAATACATATATTATGTATAATATTAAATTATTATAAAGCGGCATAGCGGCATAGTAGAATCTCTATATTCTCTTCTTTTCATTTCGGATTCATTTTTAACGAGTCGTATTAAGATCCAGAAATACGACTTGCTACGGAAATCATTCCGCATGCGATTCTTCACGATTTGGCATTTCTTTTCATATTACATGTATACGAAGATAATAAAATTAAATGTTTTTGGACAGAAAATATCATACGACCCTGCAGTGAAAAATGCGTATGCGTGCTATGCTCTTAATACTCCGTATTCCGTTGTTGTATACATGTAGTACTTTCTGCAGTTATATACCGTGGTAATTTGCTCGTCCTTTGAAATCGTAGGATTTCTAATTATATTACTCCTCGTCGTCGACGTATACGGCGTAGGTTACGCATGCACGAGCTATAGAGCTGGTTAATTATCGCAAACAAGTTTCTAGAGACCCGAAATATGTATATAATCAACGTAATACGATACACAAGCGTATAGTTAAATACCTATTATATATACATAGGTAGTGTTTTTTTAACGAATGTCACCGTTAGAACAAATATCCATTGTAATGGACCAAAAATTACATTTTCAGATTTTTTTCCAGTTCAAGAAACAACGTTATAAAAGTTTTTATTCTTAAAATCATTATTTAGTATATTGTAATATATCATCGGACTCCCTGCAACGTCCGCAAGTTAAATGAATTGATGAAATTGTGTGACCTAGAAGTTTAATCGTGTTATCAATAAGTATATAGCGGATTTCTGCGTGTATTAGCCGATATTGAAAAAATGACAAGTTGATGCTGGTACAACACAACAAATAATGCGACAATCCGGTGGTAACTCCAGTGCACCTACATAAGTGTAATATTTTAAAAAAACTTTACTGTTTTATGAGTATTCTTATCACAATGAGGACATATTTTGTTGTAGAAATACTCAGTAATTATATGTAGGTACAGTGTGTTTCCAAAAAATAAATTTTATCCGAACTCCGCACGTCGCATATAATAATGTTATTGTATAAGGTACCCTTAGGCATAGTTGATGTAAGCTGTGGCGATTCTGCGATTTGAAAAAAAAAGTCCGACGGAAGTACCGACCTTATAAGGTTTCCAAACATCAATAATTTAATATACTCAACACCTATAAAACACGTTTTAATAATACTAAATAATGTATTTATACTTTATAGTCAATTAAATATTATGAAAATATCCAGTATGCGAATTATAACCATAGCGCATACCATATAATGAATTCGTAATCGGTTTCTTTTTGACTGGGTTCTCGTCTTCAAAGGTTCCACACATATATATTTAATATATATTTATATTTATTATAATATATTATTATTATTAGTATATTGGAATTGAACATATAAATAAATACACTATCGTTGGCAGCGCGAACAGCAACCACGCAAACGGGATTGTAATATAATATTTATTATCGCATCTCGCTCTTGTTTCGTGTGCTCGGCGGGATTAAAAGATATTCCTTTGATTGTCCGTTTGTTGCAGTCATCGGAATCAACCCCTACGCCCCCGCCCCTAGACACTGTATATTATATACACTCGCATGTAATTCCCTACAGATTTCCAGGCACAAAGTCAATTCCCCAAACGGTGGAGGGTATATTATTATATATTTTATGTATAGATGCGTATATGCGATATATGTGATTTAATATAATATAACATTAGTCATCTCCGGTTCCTCCTCCTCCTCCTCCTCCTCCTCCTCCTCCTCCTCCTTCTAGCTAAACGCAGGAACTCATATATTATGCCGTGCAACTACCTATGTATAATATATAATATACATTATTAATAACTCGATTTTCGTTGTTTATGTTACAGTTGGTGCCCAGAGACGTAGAGGCCACGGAATGTGAGAAGAAATCGGACTGCTGGAAGGTGAGTCTTCATATACCTATTTACTTATTTATGGAGAATTCGTCTTTAAAATCAGTTATAAATTATATTAAAAAAATATATAATATACAACAACTAACCCAGAGATGACCCAAGATTATTATACTTATGAATGGAATTTAAAATATTGATTATACAATAATAATATTCAAATAGTAATAGTATTCGATGAACAAAATTCGTGCTAAAACTGTTTAAAACGAGCTCGGACAATGTTATGGTAAAAGTTCTACTTGTATATTACACATTAAACATATTATTATATTGTAACTATATAATAGATTATATGTCTGTATTGCAACAGACTCTGTAACAAAATCAACCCGTTGTGTATCAATAGAGTGCAGTAGGATTTTTCCATTATCGAGAGAAGAAAAAATAATTGAAATCCACCCCCGTTCGCTTCTTTTTTAATGCATTTTTATAACGCGATCGTCTCAACTATACCCACTATATAATAATATATTATAGCTCATATATATAACGTCGTGTTGTACCAGTGTTATGGGAGAAAAGTGTACCTATACCTATTCTTATAGTTCACATTACAGCGCTTAATATAGTTTCATCCCCTAGTCCACGACTCGACGCTAGAACATAATACAATATAATGTGCACACTTGGTGCGAACATTTTACGCGTCGTTTGAGCGTCGTTTGAGCGTCGTAATCGTCATCTTGTCTTCCCTGCGATATGATAATAACAATAATATCAGACGTGTACGGCGGTTATTATATCCAATAACCGCTCGCATTAGGTGTAAACGCGTATAATTTTACACATTACGCGTTAAACGCATACACATATTATTATATAGACGCATATGGTCGTATACCCCGACACTAATTTCGGTGGTTTCGTATGGCGGACGCTGGTGCCAGTTATGTGCAGTCGAATCGTCACCAACAGTGTCCTCGGCGCGTATTTCCCTCCTAATAGGCGACATTCGGTACGTTCTTCTTTGCAAATCGATCGTACAACAACAATACAATAAGTATACATACATATTATTATACATTATTATATACTATATTATGCTGCGCATAAACTCCCGCGGCGATATTGTATACACGACTATGTGCGCACATCGCGGGTGTGTGAGCGTTGAAGGAGTACAGTCGAATCCTGCAGGAAACTCGGTGAATGGCAGCAGCGTCGCGCGGAGACATTCACACCTGGTTTTCCACCTCGGAAATTGGCCTTTTACGCACCACCGCCTTTTTTTTACGATTATTATTATTATACGCCCACTAAACGCGTTATGTTTTGTGTGTTGTGAATGTGTGTGTGCGTGTGTGTGTGCTCAACGCGGCAATTGGTTTCCGAACACAAAAAGAGCAAACAAACCGTCTTGTTTGTAGGGTCGGCGTATAATAGGTACGGGCAGGTTATACGTACGCATATTTGCTATAATCCGACGACGTCGGTAAAAGAACGCGTTAAAGCATAATAATATGCGAGCCCGTTTGGTCGCAACCAGGTGCAGCTCAGTCCCGTCCGTCCGCCTCTCGTTCGTATAACATTGTATAATAATATAATATAATAATGAGAATATACATTAGTACCTATATTATTGTTACCATATATACGAGTATGATATATATAACGTACGATTGTGTGAGCTTATGCGAGCCAAGGAATTCCGAGGGATTTGACCCGTGTACGAGTTTTTTTTTTCTTGACACCTTTATAATATTGCCATTGAAATAAACAAATACGTTCGGTCTCGTTATGCCATGCCGCCGTCGCACCCGGGTCGGAATAATATTATTAGTCACGGTTGCTACCGCGCACGGTATATCCGCTCCTTTGTCGCCCATTATAATGTATACCAATATCCAGGTATCCATATACCACCGCGAATTATAAACGTATTTGTCATGCGGATTTATTACCACCCTTTGTTGTGTTTTGAAATATTTCGCACATCTGCTCTTCGACGCGGAGCGACTTATGTGCGTGCGCATGTCAGTATCTTGACTGATTGCACGTCACCCGGGACCAGCCGTCTCGGACAACGACTTAATATAGCGCGGAGGAATCCATGGATGTCCGCCGTGAGACATTTTCCCTTCGAACCTAGCAAACTATGATATAATTTATTTTCACGACGAAAATATCTACGGGTCGGTATAGGTACCTGTAAGTATATTGATACGGATGCTGGACGACCGACGCACGGATTTTCGCGCTTAACACGACTTTCCGAAGTCTTTTCAACGTCTGCGACCCGTCGCGTTTTATATTTCACGCGGATTTCGTTGGCTTGATTTGGCGGCAGTGGGATTCAGGTGGTGAAATAAAGCCGCGTTGCGGCAGTCACCGAATTTCCTGACGAAAACTCGGTGAACGACACGACATCAACGATCTCTTATCCCTGAAGCGGAACATCATGACATCGGGCGACTTTTATCCGTTTTTTCATTTTGCGTGCAGACACGACTAATCCTGCCATGGCATTGCACTGCACCCAATGTTTTTTTTTTCAACAACCCCACGCTCACCCTATTTACCTACTTTGTTGTACGCCAACACTACAACCTATATATATTGTTATAAATATCATAACATCCGACGTATATATGGGGAGAATATACTGCGCGGTGTGTGTATATATATAATATATATATGATACCGAGACCGTCGTCGTTGAACCCTTTCTCGTCGGAATAAAAGGTCGAAACGCGCGAGAGCGAAATCATAACCGTGTCAAAGGCTGAGGATATATTCGACCTAATTATTAAAATCGTGGGTCAGACACTGCATTATGCAACATAATATTACGCTCGAAGTAGGTACCTGTATGATAAATATTAAATATAATATACAATTAATGTATATTATATATTTATATACATACAGGGTGAACCATTTAACGCCAGACAAGTTTATTATTTCAGAAAACTCTTAACATTTTTGAAAACATCCATAATTTTTAATTTGATATTCCTAAGATGAATATTAACTAAATTATTTCAATCTGCACAAATCGAATTTCTGACTAGCTGTTTATTAGTTATAAGTTTAGTTGGGTGGAGTAGTGGACCAGCATTTTCATCTTCACTCATATATAAACTTTAAATTCTTATAACTCTTTAACTTCTTGTCCAAAATTCGATTTTTATGGATCAAAATATTCCTAATAAGATTTTGCTAGGGAATATGGAATTAAAAATGTATGTCGTCGTTTAAAAAAGTCAAAAGTTTAAAAAAATAATATTTTTCAAAAAGCGTTGTTTTGCGTTGACTTAAAATTATGAAAAAAAAAATACTTCCCAAAACATGAATAGTTTGTGAAATGGTGAGTGTCTTACGTTAAATAGATCACCTGGTATATAATATATATACAATAACGGCACCACTTATATATATGGTATGTGTCGTGTATGGATTATACTTATAATAGTATATAATATTATATGGGCGTTATAATAGGTCTACTCGATTATTTATAAAATGCTTTTTTTGTCGATAAGCCGCGTTGCAGGTCAGTGCATAATATTATACCTTATAATGATAATATATATACACATATTACCTAAGTATGATACAGGAAATGACACCGAAAACGTCTTTCGTGCGGACGTTTATTGGAGCCGTATCATAAACGTACAAATCGAATCGATTAATATCCACGATATAATAACGACGACCAGTGTTTTACATTTTTTTTCCATAAGAAAACCGTTTTGACCTGGCGCGGTAAAAGGTTTTTCGAGTCCTGGAATCTGAGATTAAATCTATCGGTCGTTTTTTTTTTTTTTTCGGAAAACACGAGTTTGCCGAAACGGACCAAATGGATTCGTGATGTGTATGCTTATATTATGATTATATTATATATTATATTATTGTAAATTATTATATCAGTGGAGGAAATAAAACATGTGTCGATTACGTACGCATATTATATGTGCATATACGTACACGATGGTGAAACGCACAGCGTGTTTCGTTTCATTTGTCAGTGGGTTCCGTTTCCAACCCTCGTGGGCAATCAAAACAGTCTCTGTTTATCGTCTCTGCACTGCAGCAGCCCCGTCATCCGAGGGTCACACACAAAATTATTATTATTTCATCCCGTATGCGGACGGTCACGGTTTCGACTCTGGCAGCTAATATACCGTATATATTATATTATATATAATTCGGTCGGTCTCTTTTTCTCCTCGCCCGTTCTCGGTATACGCTTTGATAACGAGCACTCGAGCGTGGTTTGTGTGTGTATGTGTGTATGTGTATGTGGAGTGTGTGGGCGCTAGTATAATTTATATATATGTATATGCGAGAGTATAATGCCTGGTACTCGATTAGACGGTGTGTATCGAGAAAGGGAAAAAACCTAGACGAGTCATAAATATATATATATATATACGAGTATATGTACGTGCTGCAGGCTGATACCCAATTGGTTACCGAGACCTACCCTATAGTTTCTCATACTGCTCCAGCGTCTAATTTAATTCTCCGCGAACTTCTTCGCTATTCGTGTATCTCACTTAGCCAAATATTTATCTACATAGGTAGTCGGAGATTTCAAGTTAGTTGTTAAAGTTTGATTTTAAGCAATTATTCGCAGGATAAAATCATGTTTTATACGGATTATACAACTATATAGTTTATCTATAGATACACATAGTGTGTAAAGGTACTTAACAGTTCATATAACACATAACTACACCGAATATATAGTATGTACCTACCTAGTTTATTATCATTATTTTATCTCCGAGTATAAAACGAAAGTTATATACTTGCACCTTTTTCCTCGTTGAACCGATCGCGACGTGAGAATTACTTTCATAATACTTTTGCGAATTTGGGGTAATTTTAATACCTATACATTTCCAAAAGGAAACCAATTCGGTAACTTCCGTAGACGTGCGTATGTGTGCAGTGGCCCTTAGATTGCTCGCGATCGTTTCGGGTCTGAGACCTCGCGGGACGCTGCACGTGTAGCACGTTCCAAAGGGGTTTCGACCATG